GTTTGCTGCTTTATAATTCATTCACCAGTGGTTATGTAAAAATGGGAAAAATGATTCTCTCTTTGAAAACTGCCATACAGCAACTTCGGCTATTTTGTACTTACTGAACTTTTATATGAACTGAAATGGAGTTAAGAATATTTTTGCAGAAAGTAAAAGGAAGAAAGAGGTAGGCAGAAGAATTTTTATAAAGGACAATAATTAGACTAGATTACTGTGTGAGAATTGATTAAATGGTATTAAAGCCTAAATCTGCTATTTTCATTATAGGTTAGTCATGAAACTTTAGGAATAAACATAAAGTTATTGCAACCTCTTAAATAAGATTAATTATATATAATAAGTTAGGCATTTTAAATTGGGCTTAGAAGCCACCTCTATCAACACTAACTGACAATTGTATGACAAAAGAATTAAGCACACTTATTTTGTATTTCTTTTACAGTTCTTTGACTCCAGTTGATGCAAAGGATATATTGATGCAAATACAAAAAAGTGAAAAAGTGAAAGTAACTCATATGCATCCTCAAGACTTCAAACGCCTTTTTGAAACTATAGAGTGTTCCAAAGATTATGCTCATAAATGGCTGTATGATGACAGCATGGGTGACACAGAGCATCCAGAGAAGTAGACTGTCAAGACATTAGCTGCAACGGTTTATTTGGAAATTATGACACAAATGAAAAAGAACTAAATCTGAAAAGCTCACATCCTTTCAACAGAAGATAAGCTCTTGTTTTATTCAGACTAGGCAGATCATTTCTTCTGAGGTTGATGTCATTGATACATTGGATGAAATAATTTTATTTATAACTGAATAAAATCAAAGCTTTAATTGTGGACTTGATCAAATTGAATTTGTTTTGTTTCAAATTCTTATCTTCTGTAAACATCCTGGTTGTTGTAGGGTGTTTCCAGTTGAAATTTAGTTTGCTTTTTAAAATGCCTTTGGCCAAACATCTTACATTGTATGAAATATTCCACTTTCATCATTGCTGATTTTTACATCCTACTGTGGGGCAAAAGAGTCTATATATTATTAAGCTTAGAAAGTAAACAAAACTGATATAAGTGGTTTGTTTTACCTTTCAGTTTGTTGAAATGTATTATCAAGTACTGTACAATGAAAATATTTAAATTTTAATATGATTTAAACTTTTTTAGAAATTAAAATATTTTAAGTAATAAGATTTTGTGATCATTTTTTTTGCCTCTAAATGTCTAATATAACATTAAATTGACCCTAACTACTCACTTTTAGTTGTCATATATAGTCAATATATTCGAAGTGAATAATTCAAACTTTGTTACTTGTGAGTCTCTTACATTTTTGTTGCATCAAGAAAATTCATCTAAAGTTAGATCTTTATGGGAACCTAAATGGAGTTAAGAATATTTTCTTTCTAGACACAGTGCTACCTGGTGCTTGTGGTCCCAGCTGCTCAGGAGGCCGAGGTGAGAGGATCATTTGAACCTAGGAGTTCAAGTCCAGCCTACGCAATAGGGCAAGACCCCATCTCTAAAAAAAATTTTTTTTAAATTTTTTTCAAAAGACTATTTACTTTTTTCTAAATTAATTTTTTTAAGAGATGGGGTTTTGTTCTGAGGCTGAGGCTGAAGTACAGTGGTATAATCATAGATCACTGTAACGTCAAACTCCTGGGCTCATGTAATCCACCTGCCTCAGCCTCCCAAGTAGCTGGGATAACAGGCGTACACCACCACAGCTGCCTAATGTTTTTTTACATATTTTTAGAGACAGGGTCTTGCTATGTTGCCCAGGCTGTTTTCGAACTCCTGGCCTCAAGTGATCTTCCTGCCTTGACCTCCCAAACCTTGGGGATTACATGTGTGAACCCCTGTACCCAGCCCTAAATTTTTTTTTATTGATACATAATAGATGTACATATTTTCAGGGTTAAAAATATTTTCTTGGATCATTGAAGAAACTTCTAGATTTTAGCTGAGACATACCTAATCTCCAGTTTGTTTGCTTTTATAACATTTCAGACTACCTAAGGCATGTTAGTACTAAGTAACTCTCAGTAGGGCATGTTTTATATAAGTAGCACTTAGCCAAACAAGGTTTTCCTGACTTCCCTACTGTTGTCATTGGTTTACAGTTTAATTACAGTTTAATTCTGAATTCCCTTCTTTCTCTTACAATCCCTATTTTGCTATTAAATAATTTGCCCAATCTTCATAATGTCATTCAGTCTTCCCACCGTTTCCTTCCTATCCCTGTGCCTTAAGCCTAGATTTCTCCTGAATCATCCTAACTACCTCTTTTTTCTGATCCAACCCATCTTGTTTATCACTGCACTATTAATCTTTATAAAACATCTGTTTTACCGTATAGACTTGATCAAAAACGGTGCTAAGTTTCAAGAGGCCTTGGGTTCCAAATTAGTAATAATGTCATCTATCTCATGGATTTATTTTTAGTAGTAAATGAGTTAATTAAGAAAGGGCTGGGTGTGGTGGCTCACATCTGTAATCCCAACACTTTGGGAGGCTGAGGCAGGAGGATCGCTTGAAGCCAGGAGCTTGAGACCAGCGTAGGCAACACAGCAAGACACACACACCCCCACCCCTGTCTCTACAAAAAATAATTTTTAAAAATAGCCAGGTGTGGTCGCACGTGCCTGTAGTCCCACCTACTTAGGAGGCTGAGGCAGGAGGATCTATTAAGCCGAGGAGTTGAGGCTGCAGTGAGCATGATCCCACCAGTGCACTCCGGCCTGGGCAGCAGAGCCAGATGCTGTCTCTTAAAAAAAAAAAAAGGCTTAGAAAAGTTGGCAGAGCAGAAGAAGCTATAAATGTTAGTAAAATATATTATCTTCTACTTCTTCCCATTACATGTAGACAGAGCCCTCTTGTGCGCTCATTCTACATTCAGGAAACTAGAATTTTTTTAAAAAGAAATTTACAATTGTCTGTTCACTGAAATATGTAAATAATTAATGAAGTGTAATATGCAGGTAATTGTAAGTAGCAGTAAGGTGCCCCAAGAATGTGAAATTAAGGTGCGCTTTCTTGTTACATAGTAAAAACCTAGAGAAGTCAAGAATGTTCAAAGCTTCTGGAGAGATTAAAACTAGGTTAACTAGAAATTTACTGTCTGTTACAATCAGCAATTAGGAGTTCAGGTCAGTTTCAAAGAGGCCAAGGGGACAGGATTCTAGTGGTGAGTTGAGGGTGACTTCTCTCGTGATACAGTTGTGAAGGGAAAGAAAAAAGAGGATGCAGGATTAGAGATCATTTCCTTTGTTTCTTAGTTTAATTTTTTAAAGATGAGACATTTTAAAAGGTTACTAGGTTATTGCTGGGCACAATGACACAGGCCTATAGTCCCAGCTACTCGGGAGGCTGAGGTGAGAGGATCGCTTGAGTCCAGGAGTTTCAGGCTGCAGTGAGCTAGTGACATGATAGTGACTGGGAAGAGCCACTGCACCCCAGCCTGGACAAAATATTGAGACCCCCATCTCTAAAATTAAAAAAAAGTAAGTTATGAGAATGAAGTCAGCAGAGAAGGCTTTTAAATACAGCTAAAAGGGACATGGTTTTAGGAAAAGGGATGCAGTCAAAAGACCAGAGAAACATGTTTTCCATTTAGATAAAAGAAGCTGAGTATGGATGGTCTGATACCTATATGTAGGGGATGAAACATAAATTAATGCCCAACAGGTGCTATATTCTCTGAGAAATTATAGGCAGTGTTACTTCTGACAGTGGAAGAGGACTCGAGAAGGAAAAAGATTTGTAGTAACTGCTATGGGCAATCAGGAAGTTAAGGAGGGATACTATGGAGGACCTAGCTCCAAATTTGGAAACCAAATTTATAGTGATTTCACTATTCTGTACTATTGTATTATTTTCTTCAATAGTAGGACTGGAGCAATGGAGAATATGGATGATTAGATTAATAAAGGATAGAAAGGGGATGACTTGGCCCGGCGTGGTGGCTCACGCCTGTAATCCTAGCACTCTGGGAGGCCGAGGCGGGCGGATTGTTTGAGCTCAGGAGTTCGAAACCAGCCTGAGCAAGAGCGAGACCCCGTCTCTACTAAAAATAGAAAGAAATTAATCAGACAACTAAAACTATATAGAAAAAATTAGCCAGGCATGGTGGCGCATGCCTGTAGTCCCAGCTACTCGGGAGGCTTAGGCAGTAGGATCGCTTGAGCCCAGGAGTTTGACGTTGCTGTGAGCTAGGCTAACGCCACGGCACTCACTCTAGCCAGGGCAACAGAGTGAGACTCTGTCTCAAAAAAAAAAAAAAAAAAAAGAAAGGGGATGACTTTAGGTTTGTGCATTCGAGTGACCTCCGTTAATTGTAGAGTGAGAAATTAATCTGACATTCAGTGTCTTTCACATGGGATAGATGCAGCCTAAACACAGCGGAGGTGTGGCCAAATCTCTAGTTTTGGGGAATGTAGTTGACAGATGTCCCCAGCTACTGTCCCTCTGAATCCACCACTATGTTTATTTCAAGCCTACACTTCCTGCAGGGTGCTCCTAGCCAATGACTTAGCATGATAGGGGTACTAAGGCACGCCCATTCTGCTGACACACAGAACTCCAAAGGGCAATTTTGGCTCAAGGATTCCCTATTGGTCTGGCTGAACTTTTTTGGAATTTTGTTGCAGTCTAAGACTCTAGTTCCTACCCAATCCTCCTTCCTTCCCTCACATTCCTTGGAGTCAAACCTGCAGTCACAGTGTGAAGGTTCATCCTGCCTTCTCTTCCCTTATCTAATAAATGAGTACTCTTCTAGTCCTGTCTTGGCATCTGCTTCTCCGCAGACTTGAACTAACACAGGAGTCGAGGAATTTCAAAGCACCAGGAAGAAAGTTGTTGAAAGGTGAAGCAAGTGTTAGAAAGCCAAGTTTTAAGTCCTTTGAACTCTGATATTAAGATACCAGCTGTGGGCTGAGCGTGGTGGCTCACCCTGTATTCCCAGCACTTTGAGAAGCCAACGTGGGAGGATCATTTGAGGCCAGGAGTTCAAGAACAGCCTGGGCAACATAGTGAGACTCCCGTCTCTACAAAAAATAAGAAAAATTAGCCAAGTGTGGTGGTGCGTGCCTATAGTCCCAGATAATTGGGAGGCTGAGGCTGGAGGATCTCTTGAGCCCATGAGTTTGAGGTTACAGTGAGCTATGATGGTGCCACTGTACTCCAGCTTGGGTGACCTCTGAGATCCTGTCTGTAAAAAAAAAGAAAAGAAATAAAAGATACCAGATGTGGAATGATTCTTGGTGATTACAAGGCCCACCACCAAGTAATTGAAGATTAAGCACTTACAAAAATAGTTTACTGTAGGGCCTTTTATTTTTGCTGGTGGCTGAAGGCAAAGGATAGTTGTTTGGTTTGTTTGGATACCCCAAACTTGATGAATTTATCATACTGTTCAAAGGAAACACTAAGAACATAGCCTGGTATCTCTGAAGAAAAGTTTTCAGTAGAAGAGTGAAATAGCTGTCCATACAAATAGCTCTAGCTAAGATCATGGTGGCTAGGGGTAGCTAAGAAAGTTAAGTGGTTGGGTTGTTACAACAGGAGACTCTTTCAGTGATATTAAGGATATTTTTATTTGTTTCTGGAATACTGATAACTTTTCAATGATAAAATAGATTTATTTCTCTAGAATATATAAGAATGCAGTCAGTAAATTCAGAAGATGATTTGGACTAAAACAGGCATGCTCTATATAAGTGCGTTAAAAAA